CTTACACCAGTCTATAATTGATACAGTGGATTTACCTATATTAATTTCCTCTGCATTACACTGAAACTTAAATGAACTAAATGGTCATAAAAGAAAGCAATAATGCAGAATCCAGAAAAAATATACAGAAAAATTCTTCAGGACTTATTTAAAATTCTTAAATGGATGCTTGTAGAAAACTATCTTTAAGCAGAAAGAGATTTTTACTATATAAAACGTAACTTGCTTAGAGATAATAAATAGTAATCTGCATTATTGTTTAACTTAAGTTACCAAACTTTAAAATCAAGTAATGAGCAAAGTGTTCAAAACAGTTCTATTTTTTTATCTTTTGCTGAGAACGCCCCCCACCCCCCCCAGGCCAAACTAATTCAAATCCTAAAAAATAATATATTCAAGCAACCAACTGCAAAAAAAGGTTCAGATTTCAGGCCTGTGCAATGCTTTAGATTCAGCTCCACAATGGTGCTTCAAACTGAAAGGGGCACACATATAACACTTGACTGTAACTTTTGTAATAGCTGTACCTCTTCTGAGGATCATGCAGCAACCGCAGAATACATACAAATGTTCCCAGAAAAATAGCTTTTTCCACAGTATTTTCAGAACGCTGTACAGCCCAAACTGATTTGTCTTTCAAAAGTTGCAAAACAATTTGATCATCCATGTCTTATAAGTGTACAATCTTTGGTATCTTTAGTTTTCAAGATTTGTCATAAGTGTCTTGCTGTGTTATTGTTATACCTTTCTCACAGACTCTTGAAGAGATCTTTGCAATGGCTCCCGAATAATGTTTTAAGAGTCCTTTATATTTTTATTCTTTCCTTTTATTCCAAGAATAACCTTCTAACATTTTTTTAAATTTAGGAAGTCATATTTCAAGATTCTCAATGCATATGTCATGTTTGCCTGTTGGAAAAGTTGCTTGTTTAGGGATCAGTTTTAATACTGTGCTTAATACAGCTAAAGATATATATAGAAAATAATGGATCTTAAACACATGTCTTATGTATGAAAAGCCATAGGATTACCCTGGTTTAAGAACACCTAATAGTTTTTTTTAAAGGATTCCTGTTATTACCTTGGAGTACCTTAGCTATGGTGATGCAGATTTTAAAAAAATCGAGAACTAAAAACTAAATTTGGTATACCTGAGAATGTTTTTTTATTTAACTTAAAAGGATTGTTTCTCTGTTATGGTTTTGGTTCTTTGGGATGGTTTTCCTGTGTCAGTGAGATTGTCTCTATTGATAATTACATTCCAAAACTAGTTCAGAGATATTCTGGTGGATTTGGGAGTCAATTGTGACATCATGATTGTAATTCATCTTAATTTTAATTTTAAACTATTGTGGACTTTTATTACTATATTTTATAATTGTGAAAGTTGTGAAATTTGGCAGAATATAAATTTAATTAATAAATAAAATTGGGATGAAACAATACCTAACATGGGATTTGATTGCATATGTTTGACAATATTTAAATAAGCTGTATGAAAAACTGATTTCAAGTACTTCTTGAAGGAGAAATACTAATTTTTGGAAACATAGGTAAGATTTTTTTTTCTCCAAACATGATAAATCTGGCTTTATGTAAAAGTAACTCTAGTATGCTCTCTCAAAATGTCTTAAACTACATGCTATTTCTATCCGTTTTTGTATTATGGTGACACAAATATTCTACATGGAAAGGAATTACACAAGAATAAGTAGACACATACTAGGGAATACACATGAAAAACAATGTGCTGGCACTGGTAGCAACAAGCACACTATGCAAACAGCCCAGTGTATTTCCACTGTGTGCCTGCTTACTCCCTTGTAATTCTTTCCTCTCCAACCTCTCTGCTGTGCTGTGGGAGGAAGAGTCAGAAATTGCCTACATGTTGCTTTTTTTTCTTCCCCACTCCTCTCTCACAAAGCAGATAGATTGGTTCCTCCCCCCATTAATAGTTTTACCACCACAGTACAATTTTATTAAGACTCTGAAGATAAGAGCATTCACAGTTCTCTTCCCTCTCTATCCTTACTCTTGCTACATTAGACTTATCTGTTATCCATGCCATTTCTATATGATGCTTGGTTGGGAGCAGATTTTCCATCAGAAACAGTAGGAGGAAGCAAAAGGAAGACAGATAACAATGTAGATTTGAAACATCTCTGTCAGAGTATCTCTTTAAAGACAGCAAAGATTGGGAATGTCAATGAAGAACTGTACAGGTGTTAGAGAATATCTTCATAAATATTATTGTTGCTTATAGGCAAAATATTGGGAAGGCCTATATAAACATTATATGTTCAGAGGAAAAATGTTGCTTATTATTGCTTTTCTATTTATGCTGATAAGGCATAACTATGAATTTCCATTGCCTGGTGTCATTCCAATTGTAAGTATACATCTTTTTGCCTATTTTTATTTTGATAAACTTTGGTGCAGATAGTGGAGCTAGGCTACAGTTGTTAATTGTCTAATTTTCTTAGGTTTGGATCAGTGGTGGATTGCCCCCGGTTCGCACCGGTTCTATAGAACCGGTAGTAAAACAGGCGGGCGGCTGACCCACTGACCCTGATGTAATGAAAATGCTTCTGTGCTTGCGCAGAAGAGTGCGTGAGTGAGCAAGTGAAGCGAGTGCACGCGGCCCCATTGCGAACCGGTAGTAAAGGTAAGTAGAACCCACCCCTGGTTTGGATGGATATTTTTTCAAGTGAAAGACCTTGAATAATTCAGAAAGGGAAAGAGTAACATTTTATCAATAAAAATGTATAAAATTGGTGGCAAAGTGCATAGACCACTTCATTTATTCTTAAGATACATAAAATGCAAACCATTTATAGTATTCCATTTGGAAAATGATGGAAACATTCAATATGTTCTGAGATGATTGCATTCTGCTGGAATAAAATTCAAACCATTTATAGTATTCCAGTTGGAAAATGATGGAAACTTTAAAAATGATGGAAACTTTAAAAAGTTTCCATCGTTTTCCAATTGGAATACTATAAATGGTTTGAATTTTATTCCAGCAGAATGCAATCATCTCAGAACATATTGAATAGGGCTGCTCTTTTGAGTTTTTGGTATTTTTTTAAAAAAAATTCATACAATGTATGAACTGGGAAGGAATGCCTGGCATTGCTTGGTATTGAAATATTGAAATCTTTTTCATTGTTATTTTCTTTTTGGGAAAGGCAGACGTCACAAGCAGAAGTAATTAAAAGTACAACTCACAAGCAGAAGAACATTTCCACATAGATCTGTGGAAAATCCAAGTGAAATCTGGAGAGCTTTTTCCAGTCAGCGTACACAATTCTGAAGCTGACAGTTAAATAACCTGGAAATAGAGTTTCCCATACAGGAAGTCCTTGACTTACAACTATTTGTTTAGTGACCATTTGCAGTTACAAAGGCACTGAAAAAAGAGACATTACCGTTTTTCACTTACAACCCTTGCAGCATCTCCATGGTCATGTGATCAAAATTGGGACCTTGGCAACTGTATGTATTTATGAAAGTTGCAGCCTCCTGGGCTCATGTGATCACCTTTTCAACCCTCTGACCCTCTGACCAGCAAAGTCAATGGGGAAGCCCGATTCACTGAACAACCATGTTACTAACTTAACTGCAGTGATTCACTTAACAACTCTGGCAAGAAAGGTAGAGGGGTGTGGGTGTGTGTGTATTTCAAAGTGGCGAACATATCCAACACACTTTCCTCCTCCTATTTCCCCTGCAATAACTCTGTGAGGCGAGTTGGTCAGAGAGGGACTGGCCCAAGGTCATTCAGGTGGCTCTCGTGACTAAGGCGGGACTTGAACTCATGGTTTCTTGATTTCTATCCTAGACCAAATATTATTTTGCTGATATACAGATTTCTATCTAGTTCTTTATTATTGCAATTCATCTAACTGTGAATTGCTAATTCACGGTGAGCTATTTCAAGTCAATAAAATTTCTGAGACATACATAAGACAATTTTATTAAAATATAATTTTAAGATTCTTAGAGTGAATGCCTAAGCAAGCATTCTTTATCATAGAAATCATACAAGTTATTTTGAATATTCACATTTTTAATTTAATAACTTGCTTTTTATTAGATAGTCCTCGCTTACCAACTGCTCATTCAGCAACCATTCAAAGTCCCGCAGTCATGTGACTGCCAAGATCAACTTCATAAAAGGCTTCAAAGAAGCAAAGTCAATGCGGAAGCCAGCAGGAAGTTGCAAGTCAGACATATGAAGCTGTGCTTAATGACTATAGATGAGTCACTTAATGACTGTATCTGGAACTGACAAGAAGTCAGTGTGATCATATTATATTTATAGGAGACATTTCCTGCAAGGAGTATTTTTGACTGCACCAAGGAGATTGTTACTACACCTCAAACAGAACAATTAAAAAGATGGAAATCTCAAGTAAAACATCTTCATAATTGGATAGAACTGCTTGAGGAGCTGCTTGGAGGTGTGGAGGAGTAGTAGAAGGTCTTGAGATGTTTAAACAGACTGCGTGCTGGTCTGGTTAGAACTAAAGATTACATGGGAAAATGGGAAATTCTCCCTGAGGATGAGGATATTCACTGCAAATGTGGCACTATTCAAACAACTATCCATCTTTTATACTGCTCTCTGGGACTGACTTGCACACAGAATGACTTGCTGATCAGAAATATCTCTGCCATTAACATGGATCAGTACTGAGCTAGAACTATATGTATTTATATTTTATGAAAGCTTTTAATTTTGTTTCAATATTAAATTAATAATATCCCCTTTTCTAGTTTCTGCATTTCTGGCACGAGATAAACGAGACAAGATATTATGATTCACTTTATGATCACACTGCTTAGCCATAGAGTTCCTCAGTCCCCATTATGGTCTGTAAATGAGGACTATCTGCACAGACACAATCTCTCAAGCCTAATTAAATATTCATTTAGAAGCACTAAAAAGTTTCATTGCATATAAAATTAATTGTTCTACTTAAAAATATACATACCTAGGACTTTCACAGCACAATGCGGACTCTCCAGAATTACTCCTTCTCCTGTGTCAAACATAGGGTTGTCTATTCCAGTCTTGGGAGGAATTTGTGCCAGTTTCTTCAATCTAATAGAAGAATTAAGATCAAGTTCTTGTTTTTTCCCATCTTCTTCCCGTCTTCGCCTTAGGTCCTCTTGCTGCTGTCGAATTCGTTCAAGTTGAGCACTCCGCCGTAATGGCATCATGCGGTTGCCTAGATCACCTGGGCAATCCACAGCCATTTCCCTATGTTTCTGAGATTCTTCAAGAGGTGGAAGATCCATAATTTTTGTTTCACTGTCTGAATCTTCAGTTACATGTCCATTCATATGAGAAGTTGTCATTGTTCTATGTAAGAAGCTATACGGCTTGTCAGACATAAATTTTATTATAACACTTCTTTTCTTGGTAGTTCCACTTAAAATCCATTATAATGTTAAATAATTCTTCTTATGCATGACCAGAGGAATATGAAAAGATCTCCAGGAAGAAATCTGAAAAAAATAAAAGTAGATGATATCAAAATGAATAAAGTTAATGCAGAAAAATTATTATATTTAATATCGTGTGTGCCTTGATATTAATACATACAATATATATTAATTAGAATATGCTTTATATTATGCTATAAGAATGTCTTGTTTTTGTAAATGTCACTTTATCACTGAGTGTGCTATCCTATCCATTTTATTAATACATGCTGGTTTGCAAAAAAAAAACAACAACAACCATGCTGATCACTACAATATAAAAAGAATTAATAAAACAATTTCCTGTTTATAACAACCAATCTCTTTCACTCCCATTTTTTAAAGTTTTTCCTTAGTTCAAAAGGGTGGTTTGTTTTGAAACATGTACTTGATTTCAGCACATCTTTTATTGTCACAAACGAAATTTATTAAAAGATAAAAATGGACCTCCCTGTTCATGTATTATACATGTTATCTTACTATATTAGATGAAAGGGCTATCTAGTTCACTATTTGCTTTTAACAGAACTATCACATGTTCATGGAATAAATGTGATGGCTACTATCTGACTGGTATGTGGTCACATTGCTTCTAGGCTTCTAGATACTATGTTTGTTTGCTACTATTGCCACTAAATATGGACAGCTATTATCTAATAGACGCTATAGAGCACTGCACACCAGAACAACAACTAGACACAAGAACAGTTTTTTCCCGAACTCCATCACTCTGGTAAACAAATAATTCCCTCAACACTGTCAAACTAGTTACTAAATCTGCACTACTATTAATCTTCTCATCGTTCCTATCACCCATCTCCTCCTACTTATGACTGTATGACTGTAATCTTGTTGCTGGTATCCTTAAGATTGACTGTTTCCCTATGATTATTATTAAGTGTTGTACTTTATGATTCTTGACGAATGTATCTTTTCTTTTATGTACTCCGAGAGCGTATGCACCAAGACAAATTCCTTGGGTGTCCAATCACACTTGGTCCATAAAGAATTCTATTCTATTCTATTCTATTCTATTCTATTCTATTCTATTCTATTCTATTCTATTCTATTCTATTCTATTCTATTCTATTCTATTCTATTCTATTCTATTCTATGCTATGCTATGCTATGCTATGCTATGCTATGCTATGCTATGCTATGCTATGCTATATACTAAAACTCTGCTGCCTGTCTGGGCAAAGCGGTGAATCGCAGGGCAATAATTTTAAACCAATGAACCTCAAATGGGCTACTTTCAAGAATGCATCCAGAACCCACGACTCCTATGGAATTAAAATTTGGCAAAATTAATAAAGCATTTAATGATATAAAGTTATCATAAATTCTTATAATACAAAATATCCAAAAATATTTCCTGTGGCCAACTCTTGATTGTTTGACCGGCAGATACATCTCTGAATATCTCCATGAATTTTAAAGAAATTCTCCAGTACATTAGGTCAACTATTCTTGAAGGCATTGAAGAATCTGGTAAGGAAATATCCCTCAAAATACCAAATGAAAACAGCTATGTTAGGCTTTAATAATAATAGTTTTTGTTACTTTTTTGTGGCAGTAATATTATTTATTTGTGAAAAATAAAATCAAGTCTCCAGAAGACAAATATGACTTGGTGACTATAGGAGTATGTTTGTATATTTTCTCAGAAACAATATGGAGATAATTTACCATTATCTTTACTCCTTTTTTCCACACTTCTAACTATTGCCCTGTGATTGATTGGTAGGCTCTCATTTTTATAATTGCCAAGTTCAATTCAGGTTAGCTTTTAGCTTTTTCATAGACTGTCAAGGTTAGGCAGATTAGCTAACTTCTAGCTGTCACATGCTGTAATAACTATCCCTTAAAAATCCCTTAACTATCCCTTGCGGAAAAATAGTTTGTTGCATCATTTCATGAGTGACATTGTTAAAAGTGAATATGATTATGTCAACAGATATAGCCATTTATTGTAATTCATTTATTACACCTCTTGTTCTTGATGTTAGTGAAATTTCAGTAGATGTATTTGTAATAAAATTGGCTCAAGATTATCTTCACTAAATAATTTAGTTGAAAGAACTAGCTGTCAGAAAGGTTTTCTATTACTGTTTACAGTAGTGGAAAATGTATTTCAATATGAATTCTTTGTAAACTTCTGAGCTGCATGAAAGGATTTATTGCTTTGCAGCAAATCATCTTCCTATATACTGTATATATAAGATAATAAAGTGTGCTTATGCTAACAAAATTTGTATAGCAATAGCACTTATATACAGCTCCATAGTGCTTTTCAGAAGTCTGAGCCGTTTACAATGTCCGCATATTGCCCCCAACAATTTGGATCCTCATTTCACCTACTTCAGAAGGATGGAAGACTTAGTCAACCCTGAGCCAGTAAGGATCAAACGCCTGGCTGTGGACAGTTAGCCTGCAATACTACCACTATGCCACCAAGCTCTTTCATTGTGTTAAGATTTAGTTATAAAACTGATGTATGTAAAAAGCCAAGGTTAACTAACCTTAACCAACGTATGTTCAACATTTAACAGTTCAACTGATCTTCATGTATAAGCAGTATTTATAGAAGTACCACATAGTACACCACAGGGCTTTAATTATATACAGTATTGTTCTTAGACCATGGAATTAACATTTTAAGGTCCCTTTATCAGTTCACATAATATTGAATAAGCAGAATAAGAACTATGTGTAATTCTCATAAATCATTGTCATTACCCATTCAATACATGCAAGACCATAGTTTTGCATTCTAAACTATAGCTTGCATATTATCTTGTGAGAGAAAATATGCTGACAGTAAATGCAAACATATGGCAAATCCTAAGAAAGGGTCAGAGCATTTGAACAACGAATAGTGATACCTCGGTTAATAAGAAAGAATAAGATTGATCAAATCAAAGAAGGGGGTGCTATAACAGGAACCCACAATAGAAGCAACTCTCCATGAGGAGAATAATCAAAGCCCAATGGACAAGTGTAATGATGAGAATATCTGGATAACCATTTGGATAACCATAAATTAGAAAGAGCATTCAAGCCCTTTCAGAATAGTCTCTGAAGCTTCAAGGAAAGAAATGAGAGAAAGGGAGGAAAAGTTGTACTATGTATTCACAATAACTGTTGCAAGCTCATAAATCCTAATCAATGAACTTAACAATATTGTAAAAAGCATCTAAGCTAAAAAAGTAGAAGAATAAAAGCACTACTGTTTTGATATCTATTGTCACTTGCCCCATCAAGGAGAAGCGTTGATGCTTTCCAAAAGTACATAACAGGCATTCCAAAGAGGGAAGAAGTGCTGGTAGAGAATGTAAACTATCCCGGTATCTTTGTTTCTCCAAACTCTGTAGAAAGCACAAGAGGATTATCTCTTCTTGAGATGGATACTGATGCAACAGGGAAGACCCAGTAAAAGATTTAGAAATTCTAGGAACACCAATGGAAAATTGCAATGTGATGGAGTTCTTTACTTATTTTTTGTTGTATTTCAAAAAGTAGATTTTAATAAAAACTAAGCAATAAGTGGATTCCATCTCGTGAGAATGGGACAAGAAGTTGAAGAGGGATGTGAGTCCTAAAAAAAGGGACAATAAAAAAAAAATCTAATGAAGAATAGAATGGAACACAACAGAAGAAGCCAAACAAAAGTTTTATGAAAAGCTTACTAAAATCTAAAAACAAAAAAGGACACATATAAGACAGCAGAAAAAGACACTGACGGCATGTAGCCCAGAACTGTAGGGAGAATCCTTAGATGAATGTTATCAACTAAGTACTGAAGAAATACTTTGGCCAATAATTTTCTTGAGAAACCCTGATGGAAGAAATGAAATGCAAGATACATGGATGACAGCTAATATCATTATCTTCAAAGGAGACAGGGCGAGAAGGATCCAAGGAACTAGAGATTTTAATCTCTACAGCAGATCAGAGATCAGTTTGTGAGCATCTTGAAAACAGAGCAATAATTACTAGAAGTCAGCATCAACAATGACAAATAAAATTGTCCCGAAATTTGGCCACAGTAATCATAATGTTTTCTGACTGAAAATCTTTGAAAATAGATTGTACACATATTGTCAATATAGACAGTCCTCATTTACCAACAGCCTTATGCAGCAACCAGTTACAATAGTGCTAAAAAATAAGAGTGATAAATCCTAGCATTTACAACTGTTGCAGTGTTCTGCAGTCTTGCGATGAAAGGCAAAAGGAAAATCATAAATTGTGGTCACATGATATTTTTACTTAGCAGTTGTATTGTTTCTCTTAAAGACTAGAAGGGAAGTGAGTTCCTTGTCATGGTAACATGATTTTCCATGTGTGGTTGCCAAGTGAAAACTACCTTTATAGAATCAGATTCATAGATCTGGAATGGGCTACAGAAATAATCTAGTCCAGTTGCCTACTCAGGGCATGATCTACACATTTCTGCTAGATTACCATCTAATCTCTGCTGGAGTTCTTGATGAAGCATTCACTACTTTATAAAGCAGCCTGCTCCACAGGCTGACAGTTTGTTCAGTCAAGAAGCTAGTTTTAATATCTAGCCTAAAACTACTTCCTTGTAATTTGAACACAACACTGCTTTTTAAAGCAATAAAAATGTCTCCTGCTATATCCCTGAGAAGTTGCTTAAAGGAACTGGTCAAGTTTCCAAATCAGTAATGGGTCACTCTGGCAATGGCTGGGGAATGTTGATGACAACCATTTTCCCTCCTCTAGGCAGAAGCTGCCACTGACTTTTTTTTTTTCTATGTATGGAAAGGGTATTTTCTTGGATCCAATTATTGGTCTTCTTTACATGGTCAAATTATTTTATCGAAAGTTTGTACTATATTTTGGTTCCACAGATTCAGCAGAATTTCAAAATGATCTGCCTTTCTCACTTTGGACCTCTTAAAATAAATGTAAATAATATTTAGGCAGACAGATATGTCAAATTTTATAGAAAGAAGATATTTGGATCCTATAAATAGGCAATAGCAACTGTAAGTCTT